GGGGTGACACGGGGGGCTACATTCAATATCTGCAAATTTGCAATTACTGACAAAGGAATCAAACCATCTCTAACCAAGCCTGTGATGTCTCACGACAGCTACAGAATTAACTTCTCTTGAGACGGGGCCGATGATTATTACAACTGTTATGGCTTTAATTTGAAAAATAATGAGCGAGTTAGATTATGTGTCACCATCAAATGTGTTTCTTTTTTTGGCGTGATTACAGACATTTACACTCACATAAATGAGCGCACTGATTGTTTTTCGTCTGGTGTGCCCCCATCCCCCCCCAACTAGGAGTGAATTTCCTATTGATACATCATGTAACGCTTTCTGAGTGGTGGTGTTGGATGATTCTGCTCATTATTTTTTATAATTTTTTGTGCAGTCGAGCTAATGCGCTGAAACAAGTTCTGCACTTACTTTACGTCTCTGTCAGGGTTTACAGAATCTCCCCAGTCCCATTATACTTCTGGTCTGTCAGGTGCAACAGTGTGCTGTAAAAACAGATGGACGTGGGCATTACGCAGGATTTATGTCACAGGGATGTAGCTGTTGCGCCTACATTTTTATTTTTTCATTTATTTTTTGCCCCATGCCATTGATTTTTTTTTTGCCAGAAAAGTGATGTTTGCCTGTTGACTTGTTTCCAAAATTGAATCAAGGACAAAACAGCCACAGAAATTTATAATAATAACTTAATATTTTATTAAAAACTGGTAAAAATGAATACACCTTTAAATGGGTGGTGCCTTCTGTATAGGACATTCTGTTTCATCTGATGACCATAAACTCTATCTGATCACAATCATAAATAATTAATAAATTGTAACAGGAGCTTATGCCTGATTCTGTTACAGTCAGTTTGCAGTAAGAAAACAGATTGCATTCAAAAACTAGAAAACTAAAATGGAACGTCTTTGGTCACAAATGTAAACCTCCCAGCCTGTAGCAGTTTACATGGAGGCTTGGACATTTTAAGAAGTGCATGCAATTTATTATGAGTGCACAGCTGGTGACTTTTTAAGTTGATCATAAATCCGATCAGTCTGGTCAGAGCCCTGACACACCAGGGCATCAGAGAAGTGGGGAGCTATAGTGTAGTTTTAAGACCCCCCTGGGAGATTAACCATTTGCTGAACCTAGAGGGAGCAGACAAATGGCACTTTAGTGATTTCTGCATGTGCCCAGAGCCGTCTAGAGTAACCTGTTTATTCAATTATTCGGGTACTTTTACAATAGACTGCACTGTGTGCTAATTTCACACCATTCAAGTGCACAATTTAAAAGGTTTTGAGCTAGCCCTGTCTTCCAGGTGATATTAAAAATGGTTTCATAGGCATGATTTTAGTTTTGTGTGTGTGTGTGTGTGTGAACGTTTACATGTGCTTTACATGTAAAAACCCAGTTATATTTAACATTTTCATATTATTCTTTTGTTATTGTAATGAAACAGACTGGGATCCAAGTGCGGTAAACAGGTTTAATGCCAGAATCCAAAAGGCGTGGTCAGGGACAAAACAGGTCGTCAACGGGAATCAGAAGTGCGACAAAACCAGAATCCAAAAACACACAAGCAAGGTCCAAAAACAGGCGAGAGGTCAAAAAACACAGGAACAATATGATGGAGTGACAAAGAGCAGGCTCAGTAAAGAATCAAAGAGTCAATACCTCACAACGAGGTAACAAAACTGAGTCCTTATAAAGGCAGGGCTTGATTGCTGGAATGAACCACAGGTGTGGTGGAGCCAGGCTGAGCGGGGCGTGGCTGAGCTTGCTGAGCGGGGCGTGGCTGAGCGGGCTGAGCGGGGCGTGGCTGAGCGGGCTGACCGGGAGCGGGTGTGACAGTTATACTTTCATGTTATACTATATATGATGGTTTAGCTCATATTTGGAACAAAAAACAACATACTCCTTTCCAAACCCCATGCAAATTATGGAAACTGGAATTATATAAATGTATTTTAGTGTATAGTCATATTTCATATGAATGAAATGAAAGCAAGCAACAGAGGAAGTATGTACTGAGTGGTATTATGGTGCTTTTGCGTTATTTGCATCACAATGAATTAAAACAGGTGGTATATAATGATGCTGATGAACATGGATTCCTGTGTGTAAATGTCTCTGGCTATTCAGAAACAGCTGACTAACATGATCATCATACGTGCACACATATAACCAGGCCAAAAAAAAAAAAAACTAACAAAAAACAGAAACAAAAGCAAGGAATGGGGTTGCTGGTGTTAACGGTGAACATTGACCCCAGGGATCACTGGTATTCTAAAACTGCAGGTGACCTTGTTGTTTGGAATGCATTGTGCATCATCTATCTCTTTTTAATTTTTTTTTTGTTATTTTGAAAAACAGCATAAATAGAATTTTGAAAGCCAGGTGGGCCGGGGGAGTACAGACTGGTCTGAGAGGCGTTTTTTTGTCCCCGCAGGTAGAACCAAATCCCCACGACAGACCATCAGGCAGCCGCACAAGCCGGAGGAGACACCTCTCCTCACCCCTGGACTTCAAAAGTAGGACACTGCTGTTTCTGTGGCGGTTGCTCTCGGCCTGACAGAACTGGCGGCATGTTTTTTCTCCTTTTTTTTGTAATTCATCTGTCCATCCCCCGAAAACAGTGAATCAGTGACCGCAGGCACGCCCCCAACTCTGATGAAATGCATCCCCACAATCCTTAGTGCCTGTCCACGTTTTTATTATTATTGTTATCATTTATTGTTCTTCTCTCTTTTTTTTTTAAACATTGGAAGGGTGCCACAGTTAGCCCAGGTAGTAATTGCTGTAAATGGGCATGAAACATGATTATTTTTTTCAGGCTGTTTGTTTTGTTGTAGGCTTTTTTTGTGAGGAATCAATGCACCAAGACAACGGTGGGCTCGACCGTCACTCATAACCGCTAATTGCATTGGGATAATTGCAGGTCATGCCAAACGAAAGCCCACCGTGGTGGAGATGTGGCGGGGTATCACAGATGCCTCCAACTGCCGGGTCCCGGGTTCGGCTTGCAGCACATCATGTTTCGTAATCTGATAAACAAGTGTCCTTTAGCTGATGTTCAGAGGAGGAGGTGGGGTGGGTGACTTGCATTTATATCACCTTTCAGTCTTTTTTCATTCCTACAGCGCTGTATCTTTACAGCACAAAACAGGCTGAAATAGCTGTCTAGGTCCCAGCCAGGGCTGTATTGGTCTTCTTTAGGGTAAAGTGTGTTTATGCGTTCCCCACACTCTCTGGTCACGCTCAGTCTCAGCGCATGAGGATAGTTCAGTGTGAATGGATGCGTTCGGCCTGTTTGCTCCCGAGATCCCAGATCGCTTCTGCTAAGAGAAAGGCAGGCTCATCCCATCCAGCTCCGATGTGTTAGCACCCTGGGGTGCTTATGTTTTATTGCCTATTTGAACAAGTGGCAAACTATTATGCTGAACAATCCATGCATACTTAAAAAGACGTCTGCGAAGCAGAGATATATGCAAGAAGAAAACGCATCATCCCCCATTCATATTAAATGAGTAATTTTACCAAGTGGAAAAAAAGAGACTTGGATTTTGTCTTCTTCGTTTCCCTTGGTTAAAAAGAACATTCTATAAAAAGGCTGTGTTCTGTGATGACATCCAAGCTTTTCAAATTTTCCTTTTACACTTCTTATGTCCTTGAAGTTTGGAAAAGCAGCTACCTAGAGACATTAGCTGCATACTTAACTTGCCAATCCAGTAACCCCTTCTGAACTCAACACACTTCATTAATCTGCTCTATTTTTAAACATCTAATTGCACGTGGAATTGGTTTCCGCCAAATTCTGCTGATATATTTCATATTTTACATGTTTATTAATAGTGGGTATCAGTCCATTTTTTTAAATTCACACTTTAATTTTCACAGATACACTGTCCCGACAAAGAGCCTCACAGGAGAAAACTGAGTCGAACACAAGCACAGCTCAGTTACAGTATCTGTTTTATTCTCGGGAGCATTATTTTTTGCAGCGTCATCCTCATGACTGCTGTCATGCACACTAAACGCTGAGCTAATCTGCCTGCAACTATTAAACTGTCCCTTCAACTCACGCCTCCTGACTTCCTTGGCTTCCTGGGCCTCCCACCCCCCACTGCCCAATGCTCAATGTCTCTTTTGCTTTGATGTCACATGACAATCCGCAATGCACCCAGTAAGATTTCTGTTAGCTCTCCTTAGAGATCCCTCACACTGTACAGCACACTGCATGCAAGATGGTGCTTTAGAGGGTTCTGAGCTGCTACAAGTTTTCATTTATTTTAACTGAACATGCAAGCCTGTATTTAATGTTCAATATGATGGGCAACTGTATTTTTCATGATTGCATTTGTTACATGAAACATGCAACTATATAATTAACTTCCAGTATAACAGAATACATGCTCCATTGTTTGTAGCAAGTTTGTTGTTTTAACACATGGCTTTTTTGTAGCACGTGTGTTTTTAACATGGCTTAGTGCAGTCTCTTTCATTTCCTGTACTTGAGTGTAAGTTTGGTAGCTGCATTTGTGTTCACTACACTCACTGTATCAAACATTAGCCAGTGTTACAGTGACCAGGAGTGTGACAGCCACTATCTTCAGCAGGTGAGAGGTTTTACATTTACTCTTGCATTTATCCATTTGTTAGCTGAAGAAAGAAAATGAAGCAAATAATATTTTGCCCTTGGGAGAAGGTGAAACATTTAAAGTGAGAGAGTGCTGGAACATTGGTTGATGTTAGCAAGTTCCTTTATCAATGAGGTGTACCATTATTTTATCAGCCCCACTGCGTGTCCTGCCAATGTGTAGAGTATTGGCTATTGTGTAAAGATGCTCTGTGCAGAACTAAATTTTACATTACATTAAATTACTATGATTTAGCAGACACTCTTATCCAGAGTGACTTACATAGGTTACAACTTTTACATAATATCCATTTACACATTTACAGAGGCAGTTGTGGATCAAGTGTCTTTCCAAAGGGTACAGCAGCAGTGCCTCACGGAGGAATCGAACCAGGGATGTTTCGGTTATGAGCCCCACTCCTTACCACTATGCTACACTGCTGCCCAAATGTCAGTGCGTGAGTAACTTAATTTTTGTAGAAAACAGAGATATTTGCTTGTTGCTGTAGAGAGTAGAGCATGATAGTTTCTTCTTCTAAAAACAGTTCAGATAGTGGGGAGGGGGTGGGGCTGGGAGGGGTCGTTATGAGGTTGTTAATCACAGGGGACTGTGCTGGTACTTACTAATACACATCCCTGCCCCACTATGGTAGATGTGTTATTACAACACCTGCTTTCAAAAAAGAGATACAGCATGTTAACCGATGTAACTGCCTCAACCTGCAGCCAATAGCACTAGGTTACAAAACCGAGCATTATCCTTTCCCTCTCAGTTCCACTGGGATCCTTCTTACTCTGAGAGAACAATGCTTGGTGTGAAACAGAGAGAAAAAAACAGTCTGCCTAAATAGCTCACATCATGCCATAAGAGAACAGCCGGACTCTCGACTCCTTCCCTCTCCCCCAGTTAAAGTTTTTTTGTTGAAGGTTACACAGGGTCCTGGCATGGGAAGCAAACTCAAAACCTAATCAGATCCAATGAGGCGCAAACTTCAAAAAAGCCCCCCACCCCCACCATTTCTTAAATATTAAATCAAAGGCTTTATGTTGCAGCAGAACTTTGTTGTGTTACTTCTAGGTAATGTTTCATCCCCTTCATTAGCAGTTCAAAGAACATGAATGCATTTCTATTGTATGTACAGAGCAGGGGTATATCAAATGTAAGTTCGCAAACGCCAGCCTCAGAATGGCCCTCTTTGATCCACTTCAAATTGCTGTATCCTTTAAAGCCATAATTACGTTAATTTGAATGCACTCACAAATACTTCTCATCTAAACTAACTGTGATTTCTATAATAGGGCTGGAAGAAAGCGGACTGGCATGTTCCAGGTTCTGAGGACAAGAGCAGAAGGCCGTGAGGAAACTCTCACTGACGTCCCCCGGAATCCTGAAAAGGGGGTAAACAGAGCGGATTAAAGAGGGAGCTCCGAGTTTGGCTCCTGTAGCACACAAAAAATGTGTGGCATTGGCTCAGCTGTGTTACACTCTTGTGGATTGTTTTGATAGTGAGCTGAACGCCGCACGAGAGGCGGATCCGTGCTCGTGCAATGTCATCATCGCTTATTGTCAGCGTTCACCATTTCCGGGCCCACGGTCACCCGGAATCTTGCACAGCGGGCATGTGCCATGCCACAGATATGACATTACGCTCTGAGCCCGCGAGGTCCTGCTGGGGTCGTACTCGTGACTCTCGTCGTTTGTGCTGTCCCTCAAGGGGTTTCCCCCGACCCCGAGGCTCAGGCTCAATCTAGACAGAGTGAAGACTCTGAACAGGCCTGTGGTGTTATGTCAGAAATTATACGGCATTAGATTGAGGCTGGGATGGAATGTGGAAAGGCTATTACTGTGCGGTCTGTGGGCTCGGGGAAAGCAACCACAGAGCTCTTTAAGTGGTTCAAAGGCAGAGTAAAACAGTTGTCTCCAGTGCTGCTGTCACTGGACTCAGTGCCAGATAGAAACGTGACAGGCCTTGTGTTTTTTCCCTTCCACTCCTTAAAAAAACATTACAAGTTCAGTAGAGATGGTAAAGAACAACTGTGTTGTGTAAAAAAAAAAAAAAAAACTCATTCTTGCTTAACATTGTTACCCACAGTAATGGACAAAGCATGCTACTGTGAAACTGAAACTGGGCCATCATCTGGAATCTAGGCCTTCTTCCCACGAAATCGCAAGACCTCTCCACAAGACAGTGAAGGCGTCAAAATAAGAATTATCAGTCTTTATATATGTATTTCAGTCTTTCAAGATCCTGGTAATTGCCAAGTAGATATCACAGATTTCTATATGTCTTTGTGACTGCTTTTTAGCCGTTTCACCTGTTCTTTGCTGCTCATGTAGAACAAAAACCTTGCGCATTGAGATCATTTATGTCTTTGATCATTGTGATCTGGGGCAGACACTTGGCCTGTAAGACACTGACAAATTTGTGCAATGCAGAAAGAAAGTCAAAATATTATGGTAAGGCAAAAGAGCCTGCTTTTACCATTGTGCCATATTACCCAAAATTCATCACTATCCAAAGGCTTTTTCAAATGTCCTCAACTTTTCCAAATCTTTTCAAAATGGCTGGGCCTATCTGTGTATTTTCACGGAAATTTTACTCCAACCCTTAAAGCGGTGGCAGCCAAGCTGGTGCTGGTTGAGCGACTTTTAAAGTGTTAATTTAAAAGCAATTTTGAATCACCGTCTCACAGTGAGGGCGTACGGTAAAGAGCTGGGAGTGATCATTCACCTGCTTCATCAGATGCGTTGAAACTAGCGCACCTCCCAGCAAGCAATGTGAGGTGCTCTCTAGGCTTCAAGGAACAAAAGCCATCTGCTGCTTTAACACGTTATTACTCACATCTTTATTATGGCTAGGTGTCAATAGATAATGACACTCTTGCCTAAACTTTGACACTGAAGGTAATTCATTTTACAGTCTGAGTGCACAACTTAGTTTAGGGACTGAACAGTGTTATGCTCACTGGTCTGGGAGTGTTGTTAGCCTGACAGTGTTGCTCATTCAACTTAAATGGACACACACACACACACTCACACACACACACACTTCAGAAGAGTATGCGAGGTAATTTTGCAATTGTTGCCTCCCCCGAGTGTGTGGGATGTGCAAATTAAGATGAATTGACTAAAATCATAAATCGTTTTGAATCAGCTCTTAATTTCAGTGTAATTTTACACTGGCAACATATTATATTATATTATATTATATTATATTATATTATATTATATTATATTATATTATATTATATTATATATTTGCAAAATGTTAAACCTCACCTGCTGTAGGAACAAAAAAAAACATTTTATCTGCAAGACAACTGTTGCAAGGCAATGCACACAGAAACATATAAGCATACAAGTTTCTGTATATGCTTATATGTATATATAAACACACATAACACACATGTAAGCACACTTCTACTGCCATCTACTATTCTCATATATCTGTGTTTCATACAACAATTAGAAATAGGGTTTTTATATAGCCATATAACTGTGGGATCTGACATGACCTTTAACCTACCTACAACAAGAGAAAGTTATGATCCAAATAATACATCTGGCTTTTCAAAATCTAAACTGAACAGTTTACAGAAATTTAAACTTGACCACATTCAGGTAAGTAGTACTATTGGCATACCTGTAAGTCTGAATACATTTTTTAGGGCATATAAAACAGTTTTTATTTTTTTATAGTTTATTTACAGGAACAACTGACTATTTTAATTTCTGAAAGGTAAAACAAGAAGAAAAAAAGACTGTTTAATACTTCAATACTAATAACTTTTTCATAAGAAAGGAAACTGCGAGCAAATACTATCAACATTGTGAGAGACGCAAAACAAAATCGCATCTATTGTTAAATAAGTCACACATTGTTAAGCCGGCTTTGTTCAGGAAATAGGCTCTTGGAATTATGGTGGAAAATACATATTAATCAAAGCCATATCAATTTTTAAAATGAATAACTTTGATTAATATATGTGGTTGAAAAACAGTCGGGTTTTACTCTTTCGCGATTAGATAACGCAGATTAAACATGGATACCTCCGGATCAGAGCGGATCCGTGGCGATAAAGCATTTGCGGTGTAATGAAATACCGATCATGCATTTTGTATGATTGAGAAATCACGCTGAGAGCAGGTAGTCCATTTGCGGCGCGGTTAAATCTCAAAGCTAACACTGTTGCTTTCTTTTTTGACCTTTCGCGAGGGGTGTCGTTTTCATTAGAATTCATTAATTAACGCGGTCCTCCCGTCCTACATTATAAATTACATTATTTTCCTCCCAAAGGACACGGAATTAGAACCTGGCACAATCTTCTTCAGCTGACATGTGTCGAACAGCATGAACAGACATGAAGCCTGTTTTGATCAGTTTGTTTAAGGAAGGCAGTCCGTGACTTGCAACTTGCAGGCTGCAAGTTAACTCTTTTATTGATTGTTACTGTACAGCTTCTAGATAAAGCCATGATTAAAAGATATTCCTTTCAGAAATCTATTTTCCACTCTGTGGTATGAAATGATTTTGCTCAGTTGTGTGTCTAATACAGTGGCAGCACCCATTCAGACAGGTATTTTGTTCTCACCTGGTGTGGCTTGGGGGTGACCTTGATTGACTGCAGTTGGTGCATGACTGCTTCGGGGATGAAATCAACCTGACCCGTTTCGATAAAATATATTGCTGCAAGTGATCTTAACAGAACCAATAACTGCAAAGAAGAATAGAATTTTTTCTGACTCACTTCAGAAAGCTACACGACAACAAAACATGACACAGCGCCCTATGGAATCAATTTGTAATTAATGTAATGAATTTGAAAGCATACATCACCCGGGAAAAAAAGAGAGCATGTACAGGGTGTTTGGTTACAATGGCTGTCTTTGTGAGAGTGATTTACTGAGCACTGAAATGACTGAATGACTGAAAAATTATACTTCCACAGTTCAGGTACAGTACCAGTCAAATGTTTGGACACACCTGAGTAAGATAATGGGGAACACTGCATTCAAAGATGTTTTGATCTAAAGACGTATGCTTAAAAACTACGTGTTTCTTAAACAAATATAAACAGTGAAGTTGATGCCTTATTCTAAAATGTGGAAAATAGCAAATAGTAAAAATAAAGAAAAACCCTTCTATGAGTAGGTGTGTCCAAACTTTTGACTGGTGCTATATTCCATAGCCAGATCACCGCTCCAGCTGCTGGTGGAGTGCCCCTTCAATTGAAACCAGATAAACGACATGCGCAGCTTGCTTACGCTGTACATTTGAACACTTCCTCCACCCACTGACTTGGTGTGATTACTGATCTGACCTGCGATGCAGACCACTGCGCGTGGCTCTCCCCTGACCCGTTTGGCCCCTCACAGATTATGGATCAGGGATGAGAACCTGGGCTTGAGTGCAGAAGTCTCTCTCTGAAGTGGAAGCATAG